TTTATATTCATTATGTTCTCTTAATTATTACTCCCTCCGTCCCACAAAAATAGTATGGTTGCTCGTTAGTCAGCCATACCCGACAAACCATCCGACTTGACATGCGTTCGGCTAATTCGGATCAGCTAATCGACTTAATTGAGGGAATTTCGGTTCCACCTGATTAACCAATTAGCTATGCAGTTCGGGGTCGGTTTTGATAAATGTGTTTCAGGACTACCCGATTTACTCGAATAATTTAATTTTTTATTATTTTATTTATTAAATATATATAGGACCGGTCAAACCCTCAAACCATGATTCCCAATTTTTTCCCCATCTTCATTTTTTTCCCTATCTTCTTCGCATCGTTTCTCCCTTGGTGACTTCTTCACGTCGCCGTCGACGTCGACTGTAACCCACCGTCTCCGGCATTTCCAACCTCCACATTCATCTCCACGACTCCTCCTCTCATTTCCCACCTTTACAACCCAGTTAATCGACCAAATTCACCACCAATCCAACCCAAAACCAAATCTAGGGTTTCTGTTTCATAGTTCCCAAATTGGGACTTTTTTAAAAATCGATTTTGATTCGATTCATGTACGTCCAGGATCCTCCTCCCATTTTTCACCTCCACAACCAAGTAAATCGACCAATCCAACCCAAAACGGATCTACGGTTTGAGACTTTGAGTTTCAGATTTCGAAAATTTTGGGATTTTTTGTTTTCGTGGAGTGAGAGTCTGAAAGGGCTAAACTGAAATGCTGCTTCTCACCGGAGCTGAACTGCTGGTTGCTGAAGCTCACTGAAGCTAAACTGACTGCTGGTTATTGGTTGCTACTGTCTTTTCTCTTCAAGGTAAGAACTAAGAACTAATAATTTTATCTAATTTTTTTTACTAGTTGCTACTGTTGATTGATGTTTTATGTTTACCTAAAAATGAACTGTGTTTCTTTTGGGTTCCGTGGTTCACCTGAATTGCTTACTGTTAGGAAATTGGGTGTTGACTGTTGAATAATTTAGTTATTGGTTGTTAATTGCTAGCTATCGAGATGATTATGATATTGTTTTTAGTGGAATTAATGAATTATACTTCAAGCTATTGATCTTTGATCTTTCTGAGTTTCCGTTTGACTGTTTCTTGGCAAATATGCATGATTAGTAGTAGTAACTGTCAACTGGTACTGGTGAGTGATGATTGCATGTGAGTGATTGAGTTGTGAGTTGTGACTGTGTTGTTTCTGAAAAATGCATAATTCATGTAACTGTAATTTGTTAACCGATGATTGAATGTTAAGTGTTAACTGGTGATTGAATGTTGTTTTAGTATTTTGAAAGTGTTGTTTAGTTGTTGTGTGTTCTCATGTGGTGTGGTGTAACTGGTTGTTGTCCTGAATGTGTATTGGATTGAGTACTGCAATATATGTATCAGATATCATGTGTTGTTGGTAACTTTATGATGTGATTCCTTACGGATTGTTTTGTTTTCTATAAGTACATGACTGACTTACTGAGAATTGAAGCTCGATATTGCTACTGTATTAAAGGTAAGAACTAAGAACTGAATGTTGAATGTTGAGTATTGTTGATGTTTGTTTAAAAATGAAGTGACTTGCTGGTTTTTCATTGGCCATATGATTCATTATTGTCTGTTTTTGTTTTCTTTTAATGCAGGACTGAGAAGTGAGAATTGAAGTTTGAGACTGTTAAGCTATATTCAAGGTAAGCTTTTTTTGACAATTTCTGTATTTTTGGCTTGTTGTTTTAGTGTTTTGAAACTTGAAAGTGTTGTTCAGTTGTTATGTGTTTTGCAATCTGTTTCAGGTAACTAAAATGCTTTTTTTTTCCTCCTTTTTTTTCCGTGTAAATGTCAGAACTAGATTCTGAATTTGAGAATATTGAGGAGATTGAAGTTGAGAAAGGTTCTGGTTCACTGCCTCCTCCTCTGCTGGATTTACCCAATGATGAAGGATTGATGATAGATGTAGAGATTGAGGATCGGGAGACTTAAGCACAAACTGCTTATGTTCCGAAGAAGTGCAAGGTAACTCGTAAGCGCTCTCTGGTCTGGATTCACTTCACTACTCATATAGATTCTAAAAGTGTTTTATGGGCTAATTGTAAGTACTGTGGTAATTCTTATATGGCTGATAATAAAAAACATGGGACTAGTAATCTTCAAGCACATTTGCGGGTTTGTAAAAAGTACTTATCTTTGAGCCAGGATTCTGGTCAGAGAAAGTTAGTTATTGAAACTGGGGAGGGAAAACCTTCGAGTGTAGATACTTGGAGGAATAATGAAGAAGAAATAATTAGGGATGATTTGCATGATAATTGTTGATGAATTTCCATTTAGGTTTGTTGACAAGAAAGGATTTAGATATTTTCTTAGGAAGTTGCAGCCACAGTTTGTGCCTAAGGGTAGGAAATCAATGGCTGATGAATGTTATAAACTGTATTTATCTGATATGGAAAAACTGAAAGTTGAGCTGAAAGGAAATGTTAGCAGTATCTGCTTCACAACAGATACTTGGACTTCTTTGCAGCAAATTAATTATATGCGTTTGACTGGGCATTATGTGGATAATAATTGGACTTTGAAAAAGAAAATTTTAAGTTTCATGCCCATTACAAGCCATAAGAGTTTAGATATCAGGGCTGCAATTGAGAATTGTGTGCTGGATTGGGTGCTAAATGGTTATATGTTCGTTGTATGGCTCATGTGATGAATCTGGTTGTTAAAGATGGTTTGGCATATATAGGCAAGTCTGTTGATAGGATTAGGCCGCAGTTAAGTATATTAGGCAGTCTCCTAAAAGAATGGTAAGTTTTAGAAAATGTACTGAAATTGAGAAGTGTGGTAGCTCTAAGAATCTAGTATTAGATGTTTGTACAAGGTGGAATATCACATATTTAATGCTAGAAACTACTCAAGTGTATAAAAGAGCTTTTAGGAGATATGAAACTGGAAATCATCACTTTAAAGACACTTTGAGATTTGATCCTAAAGTGCTGAATTTTGGGCCTGGACTGCCTACTTCAATAGATTGGGTAGAAACTAGGAGGATTGATGGTATTCTTTAGCATTTTTACGAGATAACCTTGAAGGTATCTCGTACAAAATCTGTCTCCTCAGATTCTTCTTCACTAATGTACATTGTATTGATGTTTTGTTAAGGAGAATCATCAATGAATCTGATGATAACGGTCAAAAATTGATGGCTGAAAGGATGAAGGATAAGTTTGATAAATACTATGGCTCTATAGCGTCGATGAATCTTGCTGTTTTAATGGCATGTGTTTTTTATCCAAGAAATAAGTTGAAATACATTGAAGTTATATTTCAACAGGTTTATGGGTTAGTGGATGGAAAGAATAAGTATGAATTTGTTAAATCCGCCATTTATGAGTTGTTTGCGGATTATGTTAGAATCCATGCCCCTAGTTCTAGTTCTAGTACGCCTTCCAATTTTGATTCCAGTTCATCTCAAGCAATTTCATCGAGGAAAAGACCTTCTCCGATTGATATCGAGCCTTCAAAGCTGCTTAGAGATCAGTTTAGGATGAAGTTGGCGAAGAAGAAAGTCGAAGAAGCTGGGGGGGCTTTAAACAGAAATGAAAAAACAGAATTGGACAAGTATTTGAACGAGGATGATGAACCATATTGTCCAAATTTTGATCTGTTGAACTGGTGGAAGGTGAACAATCCTAGGTTTTCTATCCTTTCTCTGATGATTCGTGTTCTTTTTGCCATTCCCGTCTCAACTGTGGCTTCGGAATCATGCTTTAGCACAAGTAGAGAGTTAGGGTATTGGATGCATTTAGGGGTTCTTTAACTCTGAAGACTGTTCAGTGCTTGATTTGCACTCAGAATTGTCTTCGGGTTGAAGGAGAAGAAGGTGTTGAAGAGAGTTAGGAAGACCTCCTTCGCATGGAAGAAGGATACATTTGTTTTAAATTTCAAATACATTCATGATTTTAATTCATCTGTTTATTTTCAGTTGAATGTTGATTGTTGACTGACTGTTCTTTTTCTAGGTGTTGAAAAGGGAAAGAAAACTGGGGTATGATAGGTACGTTCTGAAATCTAGACTTTACTTCGGTTTTCTTCTTCCATATTCTTCAATTTTGCTGACTGACTGACTGTTTCTTTTTTTTCTTTTTTTCTTTTTTTTTTCTGAAAGTTGTTGTTGGTGTTGTCTGTTGCCTGTTTGCTGTTGCTGCTGCCTGCTTGAAGACTTGAAGTTGAACTGAATCAACTGATCAACTGTGATGCTGTTGATAAATGAAGAGTGATGATGTTGCCTGTTGAAGAATGAAGACTGAACTGATCAACTGAACTGCTGTTGCCTGCAATTCTGTTCTTGTATCTCTGTTGATGCTGCTTTGATGCTTTCTGTTCAGAATGTTTCTGAATTCAAATTTGATTACTAGACTTTGTGATGTGTAATACTGTAATGACCTTTTTAATGTGTGATCATTTGTGTTGTGAACTTGAAGTTGATCATTTGTGAGTTCAATGAGTTGATCAGTTGAGTAGATGATCACCGATCACTTGTGTATTCATTTGTGTGATCATTTGAGTTGTGACTTTTACAGGATTACATATTCATATTTCCATTCCATTTGGGGTTGTGATTTTTTTTTTTTGAAATCCTCTCTTTATCAGTTTTTTTACATTTGTGTGTTGTGAACTTGTGATTTCCATTCCATAGTTGATAGTTCAGGAATTAGGAATCAGGATTTGAAATTCTGTAAAAAAATTGGCTTAATTTAAGTTTGGCCTTTTTGTTCGGTTTAAACGGCTCCCCGACCTGATTCCCCGAATGTTTAATCGGCTCGGTCGGTTCGGGGGAGGTGGAATATCGGCTCGGTTTCGGTCGGTTGAGTTGCAAAGAAAAAATCCGATTAGGCCGAACCGAATCGAACCGACCGAATTACCAGTCTTACAAAATAGTCTACATTGAGTTTTGAATTTTATATTATCTTTAGTATAAATTTAAAACTTAATGTGGACTATTTTTATAGAACCGGATAGTCTAAAATACTATATTTAAGGACTTTTCCAATCGAAAAAACATAAGAAATGAAATCTAATACAAATCAAAACGTCTTATAATAAAGACGAAAAAAATACCAGTGGATAGTTAGCGAGTCCTGGGTGTGTCACTCGCTCACCAGTCATCACGCATTTTCCCCCATAATATCTCCAAACAATTTTCTTTCTTTCTTTTTTTTTAAAAAAATGGTAACAGTACTCTTCAAACGGAGAAGTCCCGGATAAAAACTAGTGGGACCAGTAAAGTTGAAGGGGAAAAAGGAGAAAATAAAAGGGGAAAAGATATATATTATAATGTAGTATATATGTATGGATGAAGTGAAGTGATAGGATCCTGGTATTGAATATATCCAGAACTCCAATCATGGCGGCAGCAGCATCATCCACGACGACGTCATCATCGCATGAACCACAAAATCAAAACCTCCAACTGAATCTTCAAAACATGCTCCAAACCCAGACAGATTCCTGGGCTTACGCCATTTTCTGGCAGAGTTCCAACGACGACAGTGGGCGGATCTTCCTGGCTTGGGGAGACGGCTATTTCCAAGGCGGCAGAAAGGAAAACAAGAGTGGGACGGCGGCGAGCACCAGCAGCAGCTCAGGGATACATCAATCAGAGAGGAGGAAAGTGATGAGAGGGATTCAAGCACTGCTGGGAGAAGTGGGGGCGGAGCAAAACGACGACGACGGTGACGGTGTGCAGCTGGATTGTGAGGTGACGGACGCGGAATGGTTCTACGTGATGTCGCTGGCGCAAACATTCAGGGTGGGAGATGGTACGGTGGCCGGGAAGGCATTTAGTACGGGATCCCTGATATGGCTGAGCGGGGGAAACCAGCTGGGTGGTTACAAGTGCGACCGAGCCAGAGATGCTCAGATCCACGGGATCGAGACCCTGGTGTGCATCCCCATCCCGGGTGGAGTCTTGGAGCTGGGTTCCGATGACGTCATCCCCGAGAATTGGTGCTTAGTCCAACAAGCCATGTCCCTCTTCGGATCAAGCAATGATATCAGTCCTCCTCCCCTGGCGGCGCCGGCGCCGGAAGGGTCTGCTGGTCACAACAACAACAACAGTACCACTAGTACTAGTAGTAAGGGGGGGACCATCCAGTTGGGGGTGGATTCGCCGGAGCACTCGGACTCGGACTGCGTGGTGGTGGCGGTTGGTGGGGAGGAGGATGACTCTTCTGGCCGGAGACGGGGAGGAATTATTAGGAAAGCCGGCGGAGTAGGTGGAGGAGGAGGAAGGTGGAGGAAGGCGGGAGGGGATGTAGAAGCGCGAGTGTTGAACCACGTGGAAGCGGAGAGGCAGCGGAGGGAGAAGCTGAACCACCGGTTCTACGCGCTGAGGTCAGTGGTGCCCAACGTGTCGAGGATGGACAAAGCATCTCTGCTGTCGGACGCGGTGTCGTACATAAACGAGCTCAAGGCCAAAGTGGCCCGACTGGAAGCCCAGATCCAGCAGCAGAACAGCAGCAGAAAGAGGATGAAGAGGGAGCAGCAGTCTGAAGCAGACAATCACTACCACCAGTTGAGCAGCAGCTGCAGCCAGAGCACCGCCCCCGGGAATTCGTCATCGTCGTTGACGTCGGCGGCGTCGGTGCAGGTAGAAGTCAAGGTGGTTGGGGCGGACGCGATGATAAGGGTGCAATCCGACAACAGTAACTATCCAGGAGCAAGGCTGATGGAGGCATTCCGGGAAATGGAGCTCCAGGTCCACCATGCCAGCATGTCCAGCGTCAATGATCTCATGCTTCAAGATGTCGTCATCAAGCTTCCTAATGCCGGCTCCAGTATTAATCAACGCGCACTCAAAGCCACTCTGCTCTCCAAGTTAACCACAACCACAACCCAACCCCATCTTACTTAATTCATCAATGCATTTCTTCCTTTTCAATAAGTACTAAGTAGTAACAAAATATCCAACCCTTAATTAGCCAGCTGGTGGTTAATTTAATATTGGAGGTACACAATCTACTGCATGCTGCTTGTAATTTTGTTGTTGTTGGAATGATCCTCACGCGATTGTAGTGAGTGATATATATATCTAGGACTATACATCTTCTTAACCTATCTATCTTTATCTATCATCTTATATGTCAGTCACATACGACGAAGGAGGAAAATTATTAGTGAAATAAAAATAGGGAATTATGGTTGTGACTACAACTCTTATTTATTGACCTCATATTAGAAGTGATCCAAGTAGAAACCAATTGAATTAATTTGTAAATAGGAGGGTAAAAGTTTAATGTGGTATGCATACACACATACACGTGTATGTTTAAAAAAAAAAATTTTAAAAAGGAAAAAGAAAGAAAACAAAGTAGCTCCCTGAAAGATGGACAACAAGAATGCATGTTTTTTTTTTCTTTTGTTTTTTTTTATACAAAAGAAAAAAAATGTGGGATGGATAATTAATGTAACATGTTAGGACTGAAATAACAAAGCCAAATCAACATTGCATGTTTTTTTTTTTTTTAAAAAAAAAATAAATTTTGAGGAGACACGTTGTGATCCATCTACATACTACAAACAAACATTTGGTACAGAGACGAGCGTGTTTTTTTTTTGTGTGCGTGTGGTGTTGAACTGAGAAAATAAAAATGTTGGAAACACCTCTCCCGGGATAGGAAGGATGGTGGGGTGGGGTGAAAGAGAAAGAAAGGTGGGAGTGAAGGAGTGGATGTGTGTGAAATGGAGGTGTGAGGTGGTGAATTAAAACACGTGATCCCAAATAAAAAATGTTAGAGTACTTAGTACAAGGAATTGAAAAAAATTCAAAGGGAAGGGGTTTGGGAAAGAAACAAAACAAAACAATTATTACTACTGATGGATTGATTTGGGGGAGTGGGGCCGGCAGGAGGCAGACTACATTTGGTGTGTGCTTGCACATGCCTGCCTCCCTAGTCCCTACGTCGTTCGGTCGTCCGTACAAATGAACACCCCCAATTCTCTGTCATTTCTCCATTCTCTAACACCCCACCCAACCCCCCTCGTTTCCTCCAGCAGAAATAAGAGTAGTAACTGTAACTTGTAATACTGGTAGTGTATAGTGTGTACTTACTATATCTTTCAACACACCCACATTCCTACTAACTCCGTTTCACTAGAGGAGTCAAGTTTCTATTTTGGATTATGTCAAAATATATATAAGTCTCATTTTGTATTACTTACTATATTTTTCCACACACCCACATTCTTACTACCTCCGTTTCACAAGGGGAGTCAAGTTTCTATTTTGGATTATGTCAAAATATAAGTCCCAGTTTGTATTCCATTGCAAAATTTTCTTCATTTTGCCTAAATTACCAGGATCTTTATAATCATACTTATGAGATCTCAATGTACATAACCACTCAAAGTGGACTTACATTATAAGAAAAGAGGTAGTACTAAACATATTCCTATTTCCTTCGTCCATTTAAATTTTAAGTTGGGGGTGGAGTGAGTCTAAAGCAGCAGCAGCATTATTCCATCCATGGCTCCAAAAGGAGGGGGGTGGGGGGGGGGGAGCATTCTTGCTTGTTGGGGACTGCCAGCTGGCTGCTCCTATGATCTACTACTACTACTACTACTAGTCTAGTCGAGATGATGCATTTATAATTATAGGGTAGTTAGCAACTTAGCATTGGACTGTGTGCAACTAAGGAAGAAAATCCATTGAATCCAAACCCATTTGGAGCAGAATTTCCTGTACGCGATCACTACCTCTTGCATGTCTGTATCTATATTACTCGCTTCTAACGGGAGAAGCCAGCCAAGATCAAAGGTGAAATGCTTCCAAGATACACAGACAAACGACAGGGTAGGTAATGTTTCAAACTATTCCAAGGGAACGTCACTGATCCTGCTGCGACTCACGTTTTTTTACTTGCTGAAACCATTATGGCTCAGTTTTGTAATAGGCTTCAAGGATTTAAATCTGGAAGGAACATGTACAAACTCACCCAGTGTAAAACCTCTTGGCCTACTATGAGGCGAGGGGTATCCACATCCTGCAATATAATAAGCCGAAGAAGATTCCCCCATTCCCAGTCTACACAGTCACTCCAACTTTTAGGTTCCTCATTCACCCACCAACTACATCCCCCCTTGCAGTAGAATGCTCTTGAAAGGCCTGTCTAGCTGACTTAAACCTTTGAGATTATGTTTTGTAAGCTCCCTGGCCGAAGACAAACGTGCTTATCGCCTGAGATAATTCAGGTCATGATGTAATACAGATTCTAATCTGTAAGTTTTTAGCTTATGCTCCCTCATATTATATATGTATATAGAACAAATAACTACCTTCCCTGGCCAAGAACAATACAATTTAATCGCCAAAAGTTGAACATACCACCATCTTCATCACTCAAAGAACAACAAGAAACACCAAAAATGGTAAATCTTTTACAATCCTAACGCAACACTTTTCTAATCCACTACACTGCTAAACACACTGAACCCAAAACCACACACCCTTTCTTTTTCTTGTTTTTTGGGTTCTTGGTTTTTCTTCCTATAATTACAACAGAGCTCATTCTACAAACCAACCAAATCCATCCTACTCAGAACCCTTTTCTGGCTACGGACCTATGCGCCAGGTGGCAGGTGTACTTTATTATCTCACTATTACTTTCTTTCCTTTCCAAAGTCCATGTGAACAAGGAAATGCACCATTTTCTGACCTACATTAGTAGCTACGAAAGTCTAGATTACTTAGCTTCCTCTGAAGGGTCTCCACCAGTTTGCCCGGTAGCTGAGCTGCGCTGTTGCATATCTACACCGGAGGCTCCCACCTCAGAGGCAGCACCATCTTGCTTACCTCTATCACTTTGTCCTGAACTTGCAGGCGGGCCACCACCACTACCGCCCATCCCCGAGGGCGCAGCCGACTCGCTGTGCATTGCATGCATGCCATTGCTGGGGCCTCCTCCAGGTCGGATAACTATTTGTCCTTGCATTGCCTGTTGATGTAGCTGCTGCTGCTGCTGATGGTCTGGCATGGCAAGCGGGTTTGTATACTGCAAAGGCATCCTTGGCGGAAACATACCACCCGGGCCAGGCTGCTGAGCCATTGCTGCAGCAGCAGCTTGCGGGTGCTGCATGTAAAACCCTCCCGGTTGCATGGCAGGATGTGGTGTCATCTGTAAGTATAAGAACTTAAAAACAAAGTCTTGCAACTCAAGGAATTAACTTTAAAATCAGAACTAGATATCAAATGGACCTGTGGAGGCATCGCTGGTGTTTGCGGTTGGGCATCGGCAATAGCGGCTAGATACATTAAATTCTTTTGGAGCTGAGCCTGGTACCTAAATCATCACGGAGCCATGGACCGTAATTAGGATAGAAGAAATGACATCCAAAATCTTGCTGTAGTAGAACCAAAAAGAAGAACACACTAAAGCCAAACAGCCAGCTAGAGCAACGGCAGTCCCATTGAGATGAACTAAAGTGAGTTATAGAGGGACAAACACAAGCAACATAACAAACCACATTTATAGTTGCACTACTTATCTTATGGCGATATTGTCGTTTCATGCTTTTTACTTCTGTTAGATCTCATGTAAATGCGAGGGGCATTCATATCTTCTATACCAGTAACTCAATAAGTATTGAAGTTAAGAAACTACTGCTGTGGCTCATCAATGAAAAATAATTGATTCACCTCCGTTTTGTTTCCTTGTTTCAGCACCATTACTAGGTTCTTTCAGAATTTTTTATTAATGTATTCCCCATTCCAGCATACTTGTTTATATTTCCAATACATGTTTTTACATTCCCAACCAAAAAAACACACTCAGGAAAAACGATCCTAACTGCTCAATATTTTACTGATGGCATCATCCTGAAAAAGATGCAAAAACAACTACAGATACAAGGACAGTTTTCACCTATAACAACTGCAATTTATATTATCAAAGCTTCTTAGAATAAACTTTCATGTTAGGAATATTAGAAAAAGGGAAAAAACAAAATTGGCAACGGCCAACCAGCTGTTTTCAGAGATGCATTAATCAATCAGGCAGAGAGAGGTTATACAACTTACTGAGCACATTCAGCCAGTTTTCCCAGATTTTGATTATCCAAGATCGCTAAAATCAATTTCTTGTTCTCATCGAGGTACTGCATGAAGTAACTCTTAGTTTCAACAACGGTGCATCAGAAAATCTACTAACTCGCAAAATGCAGATGAATCACAAATTTTTTTGTCTTCAAACAATCATGATCTCAATCCACAATGTACAAATGTTCGATAAAGTAACAATGCTTATAAAAAGCAAATACTATTTCGTATGCTACCAAAGTTGGAACAATGTTTAATGCCTAGTAACAAAATTAAGAATACAAGTCAATAAACAAGATAATAATCCCAACAATTATAAACGCTAAAAAGAAAAACTAGAACAGGTAGACAGCTCCTCATAATAGTCTAAACGCCTAAACTTCCCAACCTAACATAACAGTAAAATTTTCGCCAATGCAAACAAAGAGTGGATACAATAACCTAATAACGGTAAGGAAAGCCAATGAAGAATGTGTTGACCCAAAATGTTCAAATTTGGTTACCCAATCGAACACACTTTCCATTGTTGGCACTTCCGAGAACCATACCCTTATTGCCTTTCAGACAAAAAGCATGCTTAAATGCCAGAAATGTACAACTAAGTTTCAGTTTCAAACATCCAAAAACACACCCAATGACACAAAAATGAATAAACCATAGATGAAAGTAAAACATCCCTTCATCCAAAAACGATTTTTTTACCATAATCAGCTATAATGAAGACTTCATAGAGCTAGAGGGCCTATATTAATGGTTCAGAAAGAAAACCCAAATCAACAAAGATTAAATCTTTGACCACATCCCAAGCAACATGGAGCTCGCTATGCTTAAACCCAAAGTTTAGAAAGCAAAACAGATTGATCAAGACAATCGGAATTCAACTGAAAATACAGCAAAATAAATCATCCCAGTTAAGATATTTTAATTTTTTTTTTTTAAAAAAAGTCTTCATGCATACTGAAAGTAATGACTTTAAAAAAAAGGAAAAAATGAAAAAAATTAAAAGAGAGAAGGAGAAAAACCTTTTGAATCTGCTCGGTGGTAATATTAGCCGGTGGGAAGGAAGGCATGACAGGAATCATTGGCGGGGTTTGCTGCATATCTATCTGTTCAAACTTAATTTCCCTTATTGCCTTCTAAATGGTAACTTACAAATCGAACAGCTCCACCAGAAAGTTTAAACCCTTGATGTGGATTCTGAAGAGGAAGGACAAAAACCCTAATCTTCCGTAGGAAAACCTGCAGAATCAAAAACACAACCGGAGAAAATGGGGGGAATTTATTCAACGATATATGGTAAAATAGGGAGACAGAAGAGAGTGGGTGATTAAAAATGGAAAGGACTAAACTGTCAAATGCAAAATATTAAGGACCAAACCAGTCAAAGACTATGTTATATTTTCACAAAACCTCACCGAAACATAATTATAATTTTAAAATTAAATACGAACAAATGCTGGTTTCCTCCGACGTCTGGAAACGCTTGTTTCCTGCTAGTAGTAGCGGCGGAGGTGGTGGCGGCGGCGGTGCAGGGAAGAAAGGGCTGCTCTCGTCGGGTTCATTGTTTAATAATTACAACAATAATAACATCAGAAACAGAAGAAGATCAAATACCACAATAATGGATCAGCTGCTGGTAAAGCTTAACCCAATGAGGCTGTGTGCTGGGCTCAAAGTGTTGGGCTATTTCATGGTGGTTTTGGTGGTGGCCATCATCGGAATTTCCTACTATGCCGTCGTGGTTATCACCTGGGGTCCACGCCTTCTCGACGGTGGCGCCAACTCTTTCTTTTCTTTCCTCATACTCGTCCTCTTCCATTTCTTGGTACTTGCTTTCCGACTCGATTTCTGTCAAACGCAAATAAAAATTAAATTCTAAGTAACTTTTATGTAATCAAGTCGACAAATATTAAAAGTGCTTGGAGTAGTAGTTAGTGATTGGTAATGTAAAACATGAAAAGATCCAATTTAGTTAAGAGGCAAATCTAATTTTGTTGGTGACTGGTTAGAAAGTTGGGAAATTATTTGGCCAAAGTTGCAATCTTTAATTAGATTGAAGCCGATTTTTCTCAATAACTGTAGTGTGGCATTGAAAACTAGGAACGCCTTTGGATAAAGTTCTAAGTTTTGGCAGTGGAAGTTGCAAGTAATTTTATTTTATTTTTCGTTCGAGGACTTTCAAAATGTATCAGCTGATTGTAAGTTTAAAGAGTTCTCTTTTGTTGATCAGATGGATCTCACTTTAAACTATACGCTTCAGTCTAATCCCTCATTGCACAGTTTCTTGGAGAATAGGTTGTGGCAATCTTTTTGCATCTGTTTCGATTCAGCAGATGTTTGAAACTGTGTGTAAGATAATATTGATTTGAGCCAAGTAATATTATTCTTCATCACTTGAACTTGTTTCTTATACAAATGTATTTAATAAATACGAAAACTAAGGAAACAAACTGTCTAATGTAGGAAAAGCACAAAAGTGAGGGATTCTCGTAAGTGTTTGACTATTAACCTTTGTTCCTTTTTTTCTCCTTCTTTGTTTGTAGCTTGTACTGTTAACATGGTGTTACTTAATGGTTGTTCTTCGGGACCCTGGTTCTGTACCGGAAAACTGGAAGCTGGTTTCTCTGGGGGATATAGAAGAGGGCAACACAGCTGCTGTTCCCAGTTCAGATCCTCAAAACCTGGCCCCTACAGTAGCATCTTTGGATGGAGTGGAATTAGAGTCTGCTGTACGTTATTGCAACACTTGCCGAAATGGAAAGCCGCCTCGTTGCCATCATTGTTCCATTTGTAAGCTCTGCTATCTTTTCTTGTTCTTCTTAATCTTCATGTTCTATGATGCTTTAGAGTTGATAGTTGTTAGCATAGCTTCCATAATGTCTGAATTTAATAACCTGATGCTGCAACTCTTGCCAAAAGCTATTCAATATTCTTGCACTTTCAATGGTTTAGATAACGCTATATATAATACAGTAACACTTGTTAAAAAAAAAAAAGGAATGGCATGACCCATCGGTTGTTCTTGCATGGTTTACCATTTTGGAAGTTTTTCATTTCCACGAGCTGTGCATTCAGTTATGTTATTGTGGTACGGATTGCCTGTTCTGTTTTCTTGCAGGCCAGAGATGCGTTCTTAAGATGGATCACCACTGCATATGGGTTGTCAATTGTGTTGGGGCTCAGAACTACAAGTTCTTCCTTCTTTTTGTGGTATTTTCAGATCTTCCCTGTTTAAATTTTACTTATTTGTTTGCCTTAATGATTTCAGTGGTGTTTTTGCCTGAAGGCTTTATTTAAAGCAAGGATTTTTCTTACAAATGCTTTCAGTTTTACACATTTTTGGAAACAATGTTGGATACGCTTGCGCTGCTTCCAAGTTTCATAAACTTTTTTGAACAAGCAAAGCACCGTTCTTCATCACCTGCCGATCTTGCTGTCACCTTTTTAGCCTTTGGTATGTTTATGTACTTTCTTATACTATTAGTTGGTTCTCAGTGTGTTTCTTTTTCTTTTGTTTATTCCATTCTCATGGCTGCGTCTTTCTTACAGATGTTGTACCTTGATGCAGTTTTGAACTTAGCTTTTGCACTGAGTCTTCTATGTTTCGTAGTCATGCACACATCTCTTCTCTTGGGTAACACCACTTCAGTCGAGGTATTACATTTGAATTTTAAGCGATATAAATTGATTTGGAAATTTGTTATGGGGTATTTTTTCTTTTCTTTTTTTTTTTTTTTTGAGAATTTGTGAGTACATTGATTATAGATTATCTCAAATCTTTTCCTTTCTGCTTTTGTTTCAGGTTCATGAGAAGAAAAGGACTACACGATGGAAGTATGACTTAGGCCGTAAAAGGAACTTTGAGCAGGTAATAAATGCCCTTTGATTTATACTTTTTCTTTTTGGGATGTAGTAGAAATACATACATTCTGATTCTATTTCTTTTCTTTCAATTCCATTATCTAAGGTTTTTGGGACGAAAAAATTATTCTGGTTCTTCCCTTTGTTCTCTGGCGACGACTTGAAGAATATTCCTGCACTTCATGGCCTGGAGTTTCCGATTTGTTCTGATACAGGTGAATGATCTGTGCATTGCACCTGGAGAGGTTTTAGATGTTGTCGCAGTACAACGTAGAAGTATAATTCCTTCTTTGTACAACACAAGTCCATGTAGTTGTTTTGCCATCGTCTGTCAAAACCTGACATCTACCTCCTGCAGAAATCTTATTGATTCATTTATCTTCTCGCGTGATTGGTTTTTGTTGGTTCAATTAGTGAATGAAGTCTCCTGAAATCATAATTATGTGATCTCTCATGTTCAAAAATCTAGTTGAGGAGTTCATTTTTAACTTCCTTGGTCATTTGCACATAGGTGTGGACTGTCACTGTGATGCGATTGAGTATAGGTCGATTTCCTCTTATGATGCGATGATATCTCATGGGACTTCCAGTGTTCTTACCCCGCTTTATCCTCAACAGTAGAGGATGCAGAGCAGTAACTTATGAATTAGGTAGTGATGGAGTGAGAGCCTGAGACTAGGTAGTACTCCGTTTGTCCCAAAATTACTAAAAAGTGAAAATGCAAACTAGACAACAATTTTGGGATCGGGAGTAGTTGAATGGATTGTACAGAACTATGTTGTTTGGATGGGACTGGGAAACTATGTTGTTTCACCACAACAGTTCCTTTTCAACAATCAGAGTAGCATAATAGTGGTCATAAGTGGGGAGAAAAACACCCCAGAATCATTAACATTTCAACCGGAGGGTGAAAAAAGAAAAGAAAAAAGAAAAGCCATTTAAGTACAACATGTCTACAGAAACAGGCTAAACAGGACAGCAAAAAATTCTGAGTTCAGTTCAGCAAGTTTTGATCAACAAGAATCGAACAAATGCCGAGCTTTGTCGGAACACTGGGGTTCAGATTCAGATGGGCATATAATAGGAGCGTGTGATGCATACAGCCGAATCCAGTGTAGTAGTCAGATAAAGTCTCAACAGCATGCTGTTGCTTGGTTATTGTTGTTGTTGGGAGGGGGTCATCTCTCGGGATCACGATAATGGATGGTGGTCAAGTCAGCAACCACAGGCGGCATCATCAGGGAAGAAGAAGAAGCATGATGAGCTGGTGCCAGAGCATAGTGTTCCTTCTGATTATCGTGGCGCTGCTCGTCATTATGACATAACAACAACAAATCTGAAACCGAGACAGAAAGCCAAACAATAGCAGGGGTAGCCAACAGAACAAGACCAAAAGGGACCATCCACAATTGGGTGTAAGTGGTGTGATACTTGATCTCCCAACAGATCAATGTCATCCCACCGGCCAAGCTGATACAAAATGAACCAAAGCACGCCATCCAACCCCTGGTATCTCCCTTGTGCCTTGATCCCATCACGTATTGCAAACCAAGGAAACCTTGAACAATGTAGAGGAATCGATAATTAATTAGTACTACTATACTAGTCCATCACTTCACTTGTGCCTGGTTAGGTAGATGAGCTGCACTGGATAATAATAATATTAATTAGAATACAACAAGGTTGCAACTAAGGAAATTAGAATCTTTTATCTAATGTAAGCGTATATAGTGATGATGAAAGTAGAAGCATGGGTTGCTGGGGAAGGCTGCACTTGCTTCATCCGGAACTCAACTCTTTTTAACTCTATAAATTAAATTACTGTGAGTGGAAGAAGATAAACACAAGGAGGTCCTACCCAAACGAGGAAATCAAAATCAACTGATCAAGTTGGTAGCTAGTTGTAGATAAATTAGTGCTAGTGCTAACTCCTCCTAATGTGGGAAGTAAACTAGGGTAGTTGGAGCTATGGGCCGCTAGGCTAGTAATAGTGCATAACTGCTTCAAGTCACACATGGTGAGAGGGAGGGATCCATGATGACCTTCAAGTGGTGCATTTCTGCCTAAGTACAGTACTCTCGTACTAGTACATGAATCTGAACAACGATACATATGTACACGGAACATTTTATAAGGAAAAAATAAAATAAGAATAATGTGGATAAAATCACATCAATTTTATTTTATATTTTCCCACTTAGAATTTATGCATTTATTAGTGTTATTAATAGGAAGATAGTTTAGAATTTATTAAATTCACAGACACATCATTGCTATACAAATTTTATTTATAAATTTCTTTCATGTATGTATCACTATTCAAATAAATCCTGTCAACATATTTTGATCACAAAAGTAGTAAGTATTTGTATAGAGATAATAATATTTTTTTTGGTACCAAAACAATTGTTTTGTTATTTTATTTTATTTTTTTTTAAAAAAAAATCTAAATGATTGATCAAACTTTGAATTTATAACGTTATTTCATGTGAAGGGGGTCAATTCCATGAAACAAAGCCCAAAAACTCCAAAGGTCTAAAGTCCAAACCACACAGAAATACGTACAGAAAAGAAAGGCCCGAAACGCCAAAAATGCAAATTGACTTGACAACCCTAGTCGCGTACACTCCGTGGATGACCCCACCGGGCGATGTTTGGATTTGGGGAATTTTTGGATATGTAGGGCCATGTCATCCCAGGACAATAAGAAAAAAAAAAAAGAAGAGTAAATTTATGGGCCTTGCCGCCACCACCACCAATCAGTAGTATTTATTTATGATTTTATTCCATTCCAACTTTTTATGATTCCTAGTAGCTTCCTAACTTACGAACCACTCGTATATGATTATTATAAGTATTATTTATATCTATCATCATCAAATCAATCAATAATCTGTATTTCTCATCATTTTTCTATTTATTTTTGTTGGAAACCAAAACTCGGAAATTCCCCCATTCCTGTCATTACTTTCGATTTGTTTATTGAGGAAAAACAGCAACAAAATCCAGATTCCGATTCCTTCCTCGCATCCCTTCAAACCACTACCCCGAACTTGCAATTTTTTATTTTTTTTTGCATGCATGCTTTTTTTTTGCTTTGAATCATTCGTTTAATTCCGTCTTTTGGGGCCGGGGATCCGTTTTGTGATTAATCATCCAATCAGAGTGATGAGTTCTGCGCCGGGTACTCGGACCACCGTCGGCCGGTATGAGCTCGGTAAGACCCTCGGCGAAGGCAGCTTCGCTAAGGTCAAGTTCGCTCGCAACATCCAAACCGGCGATTCTTTCGCCATCAAAATCATCGACCGGGATCGCGTCCTCCGCCACAAGATGGTCGAACAGGTTCCTGCTAAACCCCCCAACCTTTTTATCCCATTATCTCATGTTTCCCTTTCCTTCTTTCTGTTCAATTCTGCTTTGATTTCTCTTGTCTAATTCTTTTTCCTCCTCTGGGTGCTGGGCGGGCCAGATCAAGCGAGAAATATCCACCATGAAGTTGATCAAACATCCTAATGTTCTCAAACTCATCGAGGTCTGCCCTTCTTCTTTCCCCCCTTTTCTAAATTATCACTCATATCTCCCATTTTTCCCTTTCCAGTGCTTTGTATCTCTTTATATGTTCGAATGAAATAAGTGATATGTTTTTTTTCATATTGCCATATTCAAGCCTATCATTCATACTACTGAATTTTAAGCTATTAGTTCCACAGTTTAGATTGAGTTTTCTTTTTTTTTTTTTTTGGAACATTGGAAATTATACGCCAAATGATAATGTATACTTACGGATGTCTCACTTATGCATTATACGTTTTGACACCTGCATCGCCACTCACATTGCGTCATGCGTATGCCCAAGGATTTTCCCACTGCTCTTTCCCTGTGAGGATTTGATCAAAGAGATTAATTATTCTCATACTTTGGCCCCCTCTTGCTCCTTTGTTTAGGTCTTGGCAAGCAAAACAAAGATCTATATTGTTCTTGAATATGTTGATGGAGGCGAGCTGTTTGACAAAATAGTAAGTTTCTCTTTTTATTCTGTATGCTTGCTTTTGAAATTAAGCACGACTCCTCACCCTATACCTTCAGATTGTGTCTCTTCTATGCTAAGCATTTCGGTGATGAAATGATGTGATTCTGACGTTGGTGATGTTTATCTTCTAGGCTAAGTATGGACGACTTAAAGAAGATGAAGCTAGGCGATACTTTCAACAGCTTATAAATGCTGTGGATTATTGCCACAGTAGAGGCGTGTATCACCGAGACTTGAAGGTCTAGAAACCTCTACGCTTCACCCATTCAGATGCCATATTCTATTTGAGGTTTTATGTGTTCAACTGTCCTTCTAGTAACATTTCCTAGTATCTCGCTTTTTTGGCAGCCTGAAAATCTTCTGCTTGATTCGTACGGTGTTCTTAAAGTTTCAGACTTTGGATTAAGTGCATTTTCCAAGCAAGTTCGGGTAAGTTTGTTTGATTCCCAAATCATATATAACTAAATCACATGCACCAATCAGGTCTGAAGGGCTTCATTTTGGGATATCATTTGCTGATTTTCATTAAATAACCTTCATTAATTTGTAGGAGGATGGTTTGCTTCATACTGCCTGTGGTACACCGAATTATGTTGCTCCTGAGGTATAATAAACAGTTTTCACATTAATGTATTTGTCAAATTTCTTGAGCTTCAAATGGATTTTTTTTTTTTTATCAGGTCCTCACTGACAAAGGTTATGATGGTACATCGTCTGATGTTTGGTCTTGTGGGGTCATTCTATTTGTCCTAATGGCAGGATACTTGCCTTTTGATGAGCCAAACCTTGTGGCTTTATATAGGAAGGTAACTTTCTGACATTCATCTCCTTCATTGCGTATTTGTGTCCTATATTTTCCCATTCCAGGAGTTTTTTAAGTTAATAAATTGTTTTCCAGATTCAAAAGGCTGATTTTTCATTTCCAGCATGGTTTTCCTCGAGTTCAAAGAAGCTGATAAAGCGTATTCTTGATCCTAATCCAATGACTGTAAGCTCCACTTCTTCAGTACTTGAGGGAACATATCCTGTAATATTTGTTTTTTGTGGTTGAGGGGTGGGAATTTTGTTGTCAGGATCATTTTCCACGCAAAAATCCACAAATTAATCTCATTCCTGGTCATTTGAGTACTTAATCTACAATGAATTACCAGTTCTGATGGTGGCTTAATGACTGTCTATTCCTGGTGTTTGTGACTTAATTTTTGGTTGCAGCGAATGACAATTCCTGAAATATTGGAGAATGACTGGTTTAAGAAAGGCTACAAACCACCAAAATTTGAGCAGGAGGAGGGCATAAGCCTTGATGATGTTGATGCAGTTTTTAATGATTCCGAGGTAACTATATTCGGAATGCACAAAGCAAGCTTTTGGCTCCCAATGATAAGCAATGAAATGACGAATATTTTCTTGGCATGGTTAACCCAGTTGGATCGATATGACAAAGCTTTATTTTATTTGCTTATGTTATGGCAGGAACATCTTGTCACGGAAAGGAAAGAGAAACCTGTATCAATGAATGCTTTTGAGCTCATTTCTCGGTCACAAGGTTTCAATCTGGAAAATTTGTTCGAAAAGCAGATGGTATGTTTGCAAAATGATTCCCCTTTTTCCTTTTCTTTCTGTAATCCTTAGCTTGTTGAGGAATATCTAGGTTTTTCGGAACTAAAAGAACAGTAAAAATATTCTTGGTGTTGGGCTCTAATGCTAGGTGTAATTCCAGTGTTTTTATCACTTTAGGTTTTCGGATTCACGGGCGCTAATTCTTTTTATTTTGGAAATCCTGGAAAAATTGCAGGGTCTTGTGAAGAGGGAAACACGATTCACGTCCAAGTCTTCAGCAAATGAGATTATCTCTAAAATTGAGGAAACTGCAAAGCCACTTGGCTTTAATGTTCAGAAGAAAAACTATAAGGTGTTGCTGCCGTTCCTTTAATCTTTCGATGTCTGAATGCTTATAAAGGCAACCGTTCACATAGTAATCTTCACAAGTTTTAGCAGATCGCTGCATCATTGCCTTGTTATATAAAACGATCACTTAGACCCATATTTCAACATTCTTCATTTTCTCTGTACTTTAGATGAAATTACAAGGGGACAAGACAGGGAGAAAGGGCCACCTAGCTGTAGCAACAGAGGTAATTGGCTTAGTTTACTGCTTAGTACTTAGAAGTGTTATGGTTTAGTAGCTTTTCAAGATCTAATTCTGCTTTGCCATGCTTGTAGCTGTCTATGCATCTCTTTTTTTTCAAATGCAAAACCATTATATCCAAAAATGAGGCCACCTATGTATGCTGAAGAGCCAACATGGCTGCTCCATAGATTAGTTCTAGAGAAATTTTGATGATTATAACATTTCGGACATCCGAAAAAGGAAATAGTTTTGAGTTTGCAATGCCTGATGTCCCGCGTTTGGAATTGAACTATTCTGGTCGTGCTGACTGCTGATTGTTTTAAAACTCAGGTTTTTGAGGTTGCTCCCTCCTTGCACTTGGTAGAGCTGCGAAAAACAGGCGGCGACACTCTAGAGTTCCATAAGGCAAGTTTAGGCTTTTTCTTAACCATAAGAAGGCTAGTCATTCTTTGAGGTTATTTTTTGGCTGAATATTCTTCCCTTGGTGTGGAAAACAGTTCTACAAAACCTTCTCATCGGGACTGAAAGATATTGTCTGGACAACTGAACAAAATTCAGAAGAGACGAGGTGAGATGGGATGGTGATGCCGGGAGCTGTTGCTGCTGGTTAGGGTTGCTGATCATCTCATTTGAGTTGTGGTTTCAGTGAACGGTAGTAAGGAGGTTGAGAATCGTTAGCCTAGTAATCTTAGGTTGGGAAAATTACTATGGGGAATATAACAGATCGAAAATTATGACTGTGTTCTTCCATTTATTTCATGGAGTTCCCGTGTTAATAATCAAAGAAGTGAAGGTAGGAAACTCTGCAGTGTGCAGAGATTTTGCACCAAATGCCAACGAATGTTGTTCATATGTGGAAATGTGGATTGGTGGAGGTCTTTTGGAACACTTAAATTGGTTTTTAAAAATGGCCTTCTAATTCAACATACACATGGTTGGATTATTTTTTTAGTGTATGTTTCTAGGTGTTTTCTCTTTAATTGAGAATGTAAAAAGGTATTCCCTTTGTCCTAAAATTATTGTCCAGTATGAAATTTCACTTCTAGTACAATTTAAACTAGAAAGGAAAAGTCAAACTGGACAATAATTATGGGACGGAAGAAAGTATATTAAAACATGAAAAGATATAGTGTGGATTGGGATGCCACGGTTGTTAATTAAAAATGGTGAAAAAATCATTAAAAAACAAACCTACCTAACATATGATGAAACGGTAGCTTCCTGATTGATCAACTCCCCTAAGGAATCATTGATCGTGACAAAGCGATCAAAGGGAAATGCGTGAAATAATCCTTCAAAGTCAGCAGGTTGAGACAGTGAGTTTAGAAGGAGAGAGTTGACACAATCCGTTTGTATTATAGTATCAGGTCATCTTGTTTATTTTAAAAAATAATATTCCTTGGTTCCGAAATTACTATACAAATACATGTTTTATTTTTATAATGGAAAAAATTGAACTAAAAATAAAAAATGATAGACGTAGTGAATAATCATAAAATCATAATTTGGTGGTGCTCTTCCTAAATTAAAAAAACTAGGAAATGAAATCGAAAATTAAAATGTGTGAAAATATAGGTGGGGCAGGCTTGTTTTTAATGTGTAATTCGTAAGGTCTGGATTGTTGTGGACTAAGATGGTGGAGGAGAGTCTCTCTAAATATTTATTGCCAAAGGCAAGATGGACGGAGAGCGACGGTCATTTTATCAACTTGTAAAAGAGAAACTGCTGACTCTTAATTATATTTGATTTGGATGATCAAATCCCAAATACGTACAGTGCTCTATAAAATTGGCATCAATCATCAATCTCTTCTTCTGACTGTTTCCTCCTCCGCCTCCCGTAAGTGGGTGATGGTAACTTTAACTTTGACTATCTAGAAGTAGTTCCTCCGTTGAAAAGAAAAGAAAAAAAAAAAGAAAGAAAGGAAATAAAGAAAGAGAAAAGAGACATTAATTAAAGAAAGAAAAAGATGTAAGATTCCAGCCAGCCTCCCGGAATTCCCCCAGTGGCCACCTAGGCCAGCGAAGAAGAACCGGGATTCCCTGAAATATCATCAATTAGAATCGTTCTCCTCCTCCTCCTCCTTCCTGTATACTGCTCATATACTTACTGCTGGGCGGCTGGGCCTCTGGGCTGGCTGGCTTTTAAATTAAATTCTTCCGTATATTCTCTCTCTCTCTCTCTCATCTCTCTCTCTCTCTCTCTTTCTGCCCTGCACTTCGTCGTCATCACCATCACCACCTCTCTTTCCCCCCCACCGGCACCCACCATGATGACTTCCACTGCTATTTAAATTTCAAGTTTCCTTTTCTATACTCCTACTACTACTTTATTACTATTATTAGGAAACTGGGAACACATATATAATATCAGCTCCACCCCCTTAACTACCCACAAAAAATCCAACCATATAGTTTTCTTTCTAAATATCCCATTCACCACATCGATCACATAGAGGAGAATCAAATCAAATCAAGTTCCCAATTTCCCATTATTACCCCCTGCCGCACTATTATGTTCTTCTCCTTGTTTTCCATGATCAAGATTCTTGTTTTCACACTCGCATCGGTTTCCACCCTTTTCTATCTGGGCCGCTGGTTTCTACACCGCACGGCTCTGATACACCTCGCCAGAAAATGGGCTGAATGGATTGAAGACCGGATTCACGTCCACCAACAGTTGACCGTCCCCCAGTTCAACCCCCACGGCCACCCTAACCTGCTCTTCCGTAAGGTCCAACTCTACCTGCACTCCCTCCCTTCCCTCCAAGATTCCGATTTCATCAACCTCTTCTCCTCCCATCCCAACCACATCCTTCTCCACTTGGACCATCACCAGCTCGTCCGTGATTCTTTCCTCGGCGCCTCCCTCACCTGGACCACCGGCGATCGGAGCTTCCTTTTGCGGATTAAAAAGAAGGATAAACGCCGGATTCTCAGGCCTTACCTTCAGCATATTCACACCGTCGCCGATGATATCGATCAGCGGCGGAAAGAGCTCCATCTCTGCTACATGGACTCCGCCGGCGCCGCCTCGTCACGGTGGAGGTCAACCCCCTTCCTTCATCCCTCCACCTTTGATACCTTAGTTATGGACCCGGATCTCAAAACCAGGATCAAATCCGACCTGGACACCTTCCTCAAATCGGAGCACTATTACCACAAGTTGGGCCGGGTTTGGAAGCGGAGCTACCTCCTCTATGGGCCCTCCGGCACCGGGAAATCCAGCTTCATCGCCGCCATGGCTAACTATCTCTCCTTCGACGTCTACGACCTCAATTTATCCCGAGTCTCCGACGACTCCGATCTCAAGATGCTTCTTCTACAAATTACTCCCAAATCCATCGTCGTGGTGGAGGACCTGGACTTCTTCCTTTCCTCTGCCTCCGGGACAGGGCCAAACTCAGGGGTCACGGTTTCTGGGCTGCTGAATTTCATGGACGGGATTTCCAATTCGTGTTCCGGGGATGAGAAAATCATGGTTTTTACGGTGAGCAACGACCGGAAAGAGGACCTGGAACCAGCGATGCTTCGACCCGGAAGAATCGACGTCCACATACATTTCCCCTTGTGCGATTTCAACTCCTTCAAGAGCTTAGCGAGCAATTATCTGGGATTGAAGGAGCACAAGTTGTTCCCCCAGGTTGAGGAGATGTTTCAGAGTGGTGCCACCATTAGCCCGGCGGAGATCGGGGAGCTTATGCTCGTTCACAGAAGTTCGCCCAGCCGGGCTCTCAAGTCGGTCATCACGGCGCTGCAATCCAGCTCCTCTCCCGCCGGCAAGAATCTAAGGAGTCGGTCTGACGAGAGTACTTCATCATCTCCGCTGCCTCCTCTTCCGGGGTCGGCGGAGCGCGGTGGCGTCGGGGTGGGGTGGAAAGATACCGCTACCGCAAAGGAATTTCGCAAGTTGTACGGAATATTAAGATTAAGAAGCAGTAAGAAATCCGGACCGTATGATCAAGACTCTGTATTGTAATTATTTTTAGGACGGTTTTTTTTTTCTTTCTTTTTTGATGGGTCTACATCTCTACACTTTTAATTTGTGTAAGTAATGGATTCTTTTTAATTTTTATTATTTTTTATTGAATGTACATATCGACAACCAAAAAAGAAAATTTATCGGAATACTTAATTTTTCCCCCTCTTTCACCATCATTAAGAGTATTTATATTTATTATTACCATATGAACTTTATTTTATTGTGACTATATCTAAATAATTAAAGAATGCAAATTCAGAAAAGGATAAACCGGCTTAAATAAGGGGAATATTAGATATTATTGTTATTATTAGTAGTAGTTTAGTGGAGTACTACAGTGAGAATCTATAGTTTTTTTTCCTTTAAGGAAGAAAAATTTAATAAATAAGGTGTGCTGCCACACAGTGGTTGTGTAATAGGTGACAATAACTATATGTACTAGTGTTGGTTTTGTCTGGTAGCCAGCTTCTCCTAACTATACTCCATTTCTTTTTATAAATCATTTTGGGTTTGAATAAATATTTCAAAATTTAGGGCATTTTAGAATTTCAAAATAAGTAATAATTAATTTTTTAATTTTATGCTTAATAAATGATGTCAATTTTTTTCATTTAATCTTATTTATAATTATAATATAATTAATAAGGGATAAAACAATATTTGATATATGATAATTGTTAAATGATTCTCTCATTAGTTTACGTATTAAGTCTAAAATAACTTATGTAAAAAGAATTGAAGGGGGCAATAGATAATAGAAAAAATAAAATAAATGAAGACCAAAAGTTCAATAATTTTCTTTCTTTAATGCGGGCTTTGGTTTGGTAATCAGAAAACCAGTGAAATAAACTGCCAACATGACATGGTATAATGCTTAATGCTCTGGCCTCCCACATACTACACTGTTTGGTGCTGGAATAGAAACAGAGAGAGTTTGAAGTGTACAAGAAATTGTAAACTTTACTTGCAAAACAATTAATAATGTAGCGTCTACTAATTTGGTTGGCACTCAGTCACTTTCACACGTGTGCGTAGAAATTTAGGATTTTCTTCATTCCATTTTATTTTGTTGCTGTGTGAATCGTGTGACACATGACATGTGTGTTTGATGCTCCCATCCTCCTAAAATTATTGTCCAATTTCAACTTTCATTTGTACTACAATTTGAAGTAAAATTGAAAATTCAAACTAAATAATAAGACAAGGGAAGTAAATATTAGGATTTCTCTTCCTGTACTAAGAGTGGCCATATGTTTTTTCTATGTAATTTTGGTAATAAAAACTCATTTGATTTTTTATAAGAACATATATAAATTAAAGAGAAACCAACTTCTTAAATCCTTCAAATTCTTGGAATTGAATTTTTTTGAAAATAAATAAATGGTTCTTCAGTATTAAAATTAAATATAAAATTTTTTAACCTTTTTATAAATTTTTTTTTTTAAGAAAGTGATTGTATAATTACCAAATAACGATTGAATGATTGAATCTTTTACTGAACCTGAGATAATTTATCTATAGTTTTAATGTATAAATAAATTTTTAGGGTTAGGATGATGTACTTCCTCTTATTAGATCCGGGTTCAATTTCCATCAAGGGTATATAGGGGGGGTTTATCGGCATTTAAGTGGGGTCTACTGGAGTTGATTTTAAAAAAAAATCAAATATTTTTAATTTTGTATATTATAATTATAGGTGACCATATAATTGGAATTTATTGTTGAAATCTGTTTAAGAATATTATTAAAAATAAAAAATAAAAAAATGACATATTTTGTCTATAATATACGTCAATTTTAGTAATTTGAGATCTTGATTTTTTTTTTTTGGTATAGTAAAAATATGATAGAAAATCAAATATTAGTATTTTAATTATTAAAATTATAAAGAAATTATTGAAAATTTCCCATAATTAACTTGCATCTTTAAGGAAAAATATAATACATTGTAAAATAAAATTTATTTGTCTCACACTCTAATATTTGTTTATAATGATGTATTGGTTATTTAAAATATGAAATAAATGGTTTAAAAATTTTGTATATAATAAAAGTCGAATCATTAACAATAAGAAAGTTATAATTAAACAACTAAAAAACTATATAGAGTACAAGTTTAAGAAATAAAATGTGAGACACCTTAAAAATTAAAAGAAAATAGGGGCAAAGGGACAGAACCCAGGTCGAACCTATTTACCCGATTCCAATTGAACGGTTGATTTTCGATTTGAGACCAAATTTGACTTTTCGGGGATTTGGGATGGCTTAGACCATGATTATGCCCGGTTTGAGGTTAAATCGGTTTGACTGGCCAATATTGACGGAACCTAATAGCATTGTTGATGAGGAACCAAAGAAATTTATGCTTTTATATATAGAAAGAATGGATGTGACATATGTGTCCTAAAATGATTGCCCAGTATGAATTTTTAGTTTAGCAAAAATTGAACTAAAAGTGACAATTAAACAGAACAATCATTTTAGAACGAAGGGAGTATAAGCGATCTGCCATTGCATTTTCTTAAAAAGAATTATCAATGATACATGATTTTTTAAAAGATTTTCTGTCGCATTTTTTCTTTCTTTCTTTCATCAAAATTTTGCATCTTCATTCTTCTCCTCCTCCTTTTTCTTCCTCAATTGTAAACCATTGATACTTATACAATTGACTAATTCTAACTATCATGATAATCAAGTAAGCCCTTAACTTTTATTTAACTCCACTATAACCATTGAAGTGTGACAAATGGACTTTTCAATAAAGAGGTGTATCGGATTCTGTTTAAAGACAATAGGTCTTTTGTGACATTTGTTAAATGACGAGCATCCGTCATTATCATTAATACTAACACCTAAACTAAATGATAAATGAACACAATCGTTATACTTTTAATATGGATAAAATAAATAACTCACGAATAAATACTACAACTAGTGCAATTTTGAAATTTCAATATGGATTATTATTATTATTATTATTATTATTATTATTATTATTATTATTATTAGAGTGAACCTCAAAACAAGTCATCAATCTTTAATATATTTTCACTCTATATCATCAATTAAATTTATTTGTAGCACAGATTACCTTACTAAAGTTTTAATCCATTTCAGATCATTCTGTTAATTTTGGCCATTAAATAGCGACGGAAATCCATTTTCACATGCTTTTGGGTTCAGGGGTATTTTTGTCATTTTATTATTATTATTTTTTAATTTTTTCAATCTTTTTTATTTTTTTTTTTTTACAATTCTTCTTCTTATACTTCCTAACTTGTATACACTGGTAGTACAATTCTAAATTTTAAAAATTTATTTTCCTTTTGTATTTTAACTTCTAGATTATAAAAAAAAAATTTAAAAAGATATTTAAGAAATGAAGAAGAAAAATTCTAGTTAAAGTAAATATGAAAATTAATAATTTAACATTTTAAACAAAAAGAAAAACTAAAAGAATTAGCTAAGACAAGTTATTTCTTCTAGGTTATTTAATTTTTTTCACCTCGATTGAATTATTTAATTATTAATTTTCACGTTTCTTATTCCTTTTTTTGTAATCTAGAAGTTAAGATACAAATGAAAAATAAATTCGTTTTTGAAAATTAATTTTTTATTTGTATATTAACTTGTAGATTATTAAAAAAAAAGAATAAGAAACGTGAAAATTAATAATTAAATTAATCAATCAAGTTGAAAAAAATTAAATAATCTAGAAAAAACACCTTGTCTTAGCTAATTATTTTAATTTTTATTTTTTTAAAAAATGGTAAATTATTTATTTTTCATGTTTACTTTAACTCGAATTTTTCTTCTTCATTTCTGAATGTTTTTTTAAAAAAATTTTATAATCTAGAAGTTAAAATATAAAAGGAAAATAAATTTTTTAAATTTAGAATTATACTACCAGTGTATACAAGTTAGGAAGTATAAGAAGAAGAATTGTAAAAAAAAAAATTTAAAAGATTAAAAAATACAAATAAAATAATAAAATGACAAAAATACCCCTGAACCCAAAAGCATGTGAAAAATGGATTTTCGTCACTATTTAACGGCCAAAATTAACAGAATGATCTGAAATGGATTAAAACTTTAGTAAGGTAACCTGTGTTACAAATAAATTTAATTGATGACCTAGAGTGAAAATATATTAAAGGTTGATGACTTGTTTTGAGGTTCACTCTTATTATTATTATTATTATTATTATTATGATGTGAGGGAAGCCAAATCCTTATGCTACAAATCCCAAAGAAGAGACAAAAAAGAGGCCTTGTCTATTTCTAAAAAGTTGTAATAGTAGTCGGGCGTATAGACAAGATGTGCTTCTCCGAATGCTATGTAAAACCTAATTTGGCTAACGATTTTAGAGGAGATATTGAATTTTCCTTAAAATGTTACTTGAGCTATGGTGAGTAATGTGTTGCTGCTTGAGAAGAGTGAAGGCTTCCATGTTGTTTACCTTTACTATCAACTTTATGAATCCTAACTCCCAAGAAATTTAGAGCCGGAAGAAAGTCCCCCACATTTCTGCTTCTAAACAATAGCAGATGCTGATGTTATCCACAAAACCAGTGAATTATTTCATGTCGTGATTCCTTAGCAGCCCTCCTATTGTTACGTGATTGGAGGTTTTGGTAACATGTCCATCCTTGTTAAGCTTAATCCAACTAGCTTTGGGAATCTCCACAATGTGTTTAGTGTTGTTTGTTTGGGTCAGTCCAATCTGTGTGCAAAAATAGAGTTGGACCTTGTTATTTCTTTGACAAGGGCATGGGTTGAACCTCTGAGTTCTCTGTTGGTAAAAGCCGTGTCTCCTAGTACTTTGTCGTTATGTGATTTTCAAATTTTCCAACAAACAATCCCAAAAGAAATAAACCAATTACTATCTTCTTAAAAAGAAAAAGGAATCTAGATTATGATAAATCAAAGTGTGCAAATTAGATTCAAACCAGAAATTACTCCCAAGGTGTGGGTTAAAATCTCTACAGCAGTTTCT